GCTATTGTGTTCCATGCTACTTGGCGAATTCGCAATGATATCCACTTTCATGAAACGGGAGCCCAGCAACCAAGTGCTTAAACACTCTAAGATAGGTAAGGGGAGCAAAAGGCGTATGTCGTTTATACCTTGTTTTTTCGTCTGGCGTTGCCGCAGTTACCGGAAATAACCGCATCACCACTGAGCGGCTATTTCTTACGGTCCACCTGCTGGAACGAGAAATAGGGGGTCCGGCTTGAGTGCTTGGTGGAGAATTTGGAAGTGGTTCATTACTTGTGCGCCATAGAAGCCCAGGTCAGTGCATCAATCTAGCTGTGACTGGGGACCACATCCATCTGTGGCTACCACCCAAGCTGGATGTTCCAACTCCACCGTCCTTAGGAAGGAAATTCCGTTGATTAACTAGTTGTCGATAACCGTTCTGCTGGCTACAAAATAACTGAAGTTAAGATAAAACTAAATCCGTGGAATCCAAATCCGACAAGCAGGAGGAGGTGAAATCTCCGCGGCGGGTTTTTCAAACCCCAAGCGTTGAAGTACCAATCCACTAATTCTGCGTCGATGTTCAATTCTTCGGAGTGACGATAAATGAACTGGCAATGCCTTTGAAAGGAAGCGATCACACTTGACACCAATCTCATAGGCTAGCCCCACCACCTACGAAGCCGCTATTGTGTTCCATGCTACTTGGCGAATTCTACGAAGCTTAACATCGATCGACGAGAGGACCGGTCGCGTTTTGACCATCGGGTAGTCAGGTTATCCCGGCCACGAGGTCGGGACGTACAAAACGTCTTGTTTACGATCATTCTCGGTACAAAGTCAACGCGCTCATGCTCATCACATTTCATGTTAAAATTATTGTAAGTGATCACTTCAAAGTACAATATACACTGCCTTGAAAATGAAACGAAATGTTGAAAAGGGAGGTATTTGCCGTTAAATGACATTTTATCACGAAACCTCAGCCCAGAAACCGCTTCCGTTGGTTCTTCTGGCAGCGACAGCCATTGTCTCGAACCTATAATGATTATAGTACGATGCACCCACGACAGCGCGTTTCCACCACCTGTAGGCCCATTAATTCTTGTAGTCTGCAGCTAGCAGAACCTCTGCACCGTAACTACAAAGTTATCGGCTTAGGTATAATAGCTTTCTGCCGTTACCACCGCTTACCGGTCATCGAACTGTTATTCCTGTAATTATTTCAGTCTTAGCAAACATTGCTCGTTCCTCAAACTGCAACTTGTCCGGCAGGACATTGCGAACCACGGTTTTTCCGGACGCGAATCGTACTGTACAACTTAGTGGCGTAGTGAATTATCTATTTGTATTTACGCAGAATTTTTCGAGTACACGAAACGTAAATACATTACATCACATAAATTGTTTGCTTAAGTCTTGTCGAATAGTGACCCTGTTCGCTAAACTCTCATTCTTCGGCGGCGAATATATTGTCATGTATAGTTTGTTCCTAGCAGGCACTTCGGATCGTGTTTTGCCTTTTGATGCGACGAAAAAGGAAGTTTTAGTTTGATAAACCTCAATGGAGGATTTCTGAGTCAGCGTTCGCATGGATAAAGATGAACTTAAAGTATTTGGGAGTCCAGCACAGATTTAATATATAACGTAGACTACTCGAAAACTGCGTTGCCGACGAGCTTGTGCTACTTCAGCTGGTTCGTACGCATTCCCGATCAGTTGGACATTCATGCCACTCCATGAAGCCAGCAAATTGTACTACATCATGCAGTACAATTTGCTGGCTTGTAGTCTACATGTAGTGTTGCCATTCTTCTCCATCCGCATAGCTATCCATACTACCGTTGGCTGGTAATTTTTAATAAAATGGAGCATAATACATTAAAATACCATCACTATAACATTCTGGTACATCGTTTCTCGGGTTGCCGCTTGTATTTGAAGCGTGGCTGCTTCAAAACTACAAAGAGTAAACAAAGGTAACCGTAGATACACTATTATTTGCTCTTCAAAAAATATATAGGTCTCGAGTCAGCAATGGCGTGTCTGAACGGGTAGAGAACCAATATCCCCAACAAACACTATCCATTAAAATACGGTAATTATAGGTATGTCCATATCAATTCTGGCCGCATTCGGAAGCTGCTGGTCGCCATTTAGGGCCACGTGCAGTAAATCGCAATCCAACGGACTTGGGCGACTTGGCTTAATACGAGACTCGCAATCTCACTCAACGCTCCACTCTAGGTCGCTGCGTTCGTCTACAGCGCTGTACGCGCTCGTAGTTTGGGTGATGGGCCATGAAGATTAACTTCAATCCAAGGTGATGGAATCGCGATGCTTCGCAAAATGGCCGATGTGTAACTCGTGTCTGAACTTCCCCAGCCAACTACAGCCCCACGTTTTTGCGGTGGTGGAGCCGGAAGCTTTGGGTGCAATTTACGCGTGCGCAAAGCGTTGAAGTAGACAATCACTGCTGTTCGGACTTTGAACACTTCAACGCAGTGCTTCAACTGGGTGCTTCCGATCACCGAACTGACAAAACAAATGTACAGCGGAAAACATTGTGTTTTGTACACAATTTGTACCTGTTAATCTTCATGGCCGTCAAGCTGACAGACAACGTCGCTTGTTGAATCCGACTCTTTTTGTGTGAGACGAGCCCAGAACGCGACCAGCGCTGGTTCTGGAGGTCCAGCGATGTCTCCCACCACACGGTCTTGGTGTATACAGTGTACAGTATTCGGTGGCGGCCATTTCTCCAGTGCGTTTGAATGTCGGCTTTCATCAGGAGCACCTCCGTACTGTATCTGTTCACCCGGCCACATCGTCGTGGCCACTGTGGCCAATCCGCTCCAAGGACTCATCGACGACGCCGCGTCAGAAGAAACTGGCCGATACACGAAAACAAGGACGAGGCGAAGGTGATGAACAGATCCCAACTGGGATCATGTTGCTGGACAAGCTGGCGACTATGATCATTTTGACGGCCATAGCGCCGTTGTCGCTGAGCAGGACCAACTCGCCAAGAGTGGAGTTTGAGCAATCGCAGTGGCAGAGCCATGGTCGAAAATTGTGAGCTGGAGGGAGATCTCAAGACGAATGGCCAGCAGCTCCCAGCGCATTAGAGCACGTGACTTCGTAGCGCGTGAATGCGCACGGGTCGCTGGGCGTTCGTCGCAGAGGTCCGTGTTGCTCAAATTGGTGTTCGCGATCTTTTTGGGGCCCCGTCACGGCTTCCTTTTTCTTTGTGAGCACTCCGTTCTAGGGAAGCGGATGGCGAGGGATGAGCTGCCACTGTACTGTTCCAAGTCACTGCTTCTGCCTGAGCAATATCTTGATTGTGGTGTACTTCTTGGTCAGAGGTCCACATTTGACTTCAAACTTCAAACAGGACAACATTGTACATGTACATTGTAGTCCGACGGTTGGACTCCGGCGTGAACTTGTTCACAGTTAAAAAAAACCTGTACAGCGCACAGATAACTTGCAACGAATTTGCCGATTTTTGCTGGTGGGTCAACCAAAAGCAACCTCCTTATTTCAACATACTAATAATATATACTGTAACTTTGTATTATTAGGAAATGTGAAGGGAGACACTGGTACATGTATGATTTGCAGCAAATGCTGTGAATTGTCGGTGGTGCCGTAATGTACTGTGTACATGTACGTACATGTACCTGGGATTAATACGGTATGTACCGCCATCGCTTTTCGCTGCATGCTCGTGCCATTTTCCCAACGACAAGACTTTGGAATCCAAATTGGATGTGGCGTTTCTCCGTGGTGACGCAGCATTCGTAAAGATTTCCGTCACGCTGATTGGTGCGATGGCTGACAAAGTCAATATGTTTTTCTCCAGGGGGTATAATTCATGCGGTACGCGTGGCGCCATGGAGTCGGTGAGCCATTTCCACGCTTCGGTTCTGCACTCCAGTCCCTCGGTTCGTGTGTTACTGCCTTGACAGAGCATATCGTCGAGATGGAGTTCGAGATTGGCCTGCGCTCGAAGCCGTCGAACTCGGTCGATTGGATGACTAGCAGAGCACAGCAGATGCTTTCCTCTGAGCGAGCCGACGGCGGTCGAGCAGCAGCGTCTTGAATACACGTCTTTAGACTGCAGGGGCAATTGTACACTTAGTACCAGCATACTACATGTACTTACAATAGTATATTCAGTTTTCAAAAGTTTCCAATACCTCCATTCATACACAATCCAACACCAATCCAACCCGCCAATGAGCGTTCAAGAATAACTTTTACGAACTCTGCATCACCGAGACAACAGCGTGTAAAATGCACATGTTGATAGAGTATGTAATGCGTACTGCGACGACAAGATAGGCGCGGAGATCTTCGCTAGTGTGAACCCAAGATCGACTGCCTCCAGCGAGTACAATGTGTCCGAGCAAGCCTCAATAGCGAATGTGCCGAAAAACATTCGTCGATTCTCAGCTAACCACACGTACACGACAAGTGCAGGTGGTGCGGTCCACGTGAACATTTCTCGCACGTGAGAACTTTCATCCTGGTCGTCGCCGTTCCAACGCTCGTACCGTCGCGGCCCACGCTACCGAAAAGCAGGTTAAACGGCGTATCGCGGGAATGTGGGCCTCCGATACATCTGGTGTCAACTACAAAAAGTGCTTGACGTGCCTGAAACGGTGCGGGCATACGAAAAGCAAGACAGGAGCCCAAAGCCGAAACTCTTGAGTGCGTCAAAAACGCCACAGGGACCTCCCCCATCTCCCCACTGCCCGGTCTTGTTCCGCTGGGTTTAATCCTGGTCATGACGCCGCAAAGTTGTACCGGCTCGATTGCTTGGGGTCTCCGCCGGCGCCTGTCGATCGATACGGCCCAAGTGACCGACAGCAGGTACAGTATCCATCCTAAAGGAGCCAAACAAACGGTTTGAAACGCCAAGATGAGCTCATTCTTCCTTTTGCATCCTCGGACACACCCGAGCTTGAGTTTTAGAGCCTCAAGCGTCAAGTGCCCGTCACAAGCACTTCAAGATGGTTCGATCAAAGGCCGCGTTCATCCTGTTGACGGTGATCGCCGCGACCACCAATACACAAGCCATCGACTGGACCTTCTGGAACGATGACGACGATTCCACCGCCTCGTCCGGCTCGAGCACGGGCATGGAGACCCTGTCACCCGAAGCGCTCAAGAGTATGATGGGCTCCGACTACATGGACGCTGTCAAGTCCTTGATCTCCTCGGGCCATGGCTCGGAGTTTTCGGACTCGGACTCTGGATCAGACTCCTTCAACAAGGCTACGGACGCGCCTACTTCGTCGGACTCGTCCGACTCCTCCTCGGGCTCCGACAACTCGGTGGTGCCCGCTTTCTCCTTCTCGGGGTCTGGTGCGGACTCGATCCCTCCGGTGAGTGAAATGGCCTCGCCTTCGAACGCTGTGAGCACTGTCCGGTCCAACTACCGCAACTGGGTCGGACCTTACAGCAAAGGCGGAGACTCGGCTTGCTACCGCGAATCCCACATCATGGACACCTGCCCGAGCAACTTCGACCGCAACGACCTGACCAACACGTGCTGGACCGAGTGCCCGATGGAGTACCCGGTTGAGTGCGGCATGCAGTGCATCCAGCAGAACAACGACTGCGGCCGTGAGAACGTCGCCAAGATCTCGGCCGTGGCCATGTCCGCTCTCAGTATGGCGAGTTTCGGTGTCTTCGGCCAGCTCGCGAAGCTCGGCAAGAAGGTGACGTGGGCGGTCAGATGCGTCAACATGCTCATGACAGCCACGAGAGCGATCGTGCGTTTCACGCGTAACCAAATGGTCAACGACCCGCAGACGTCCCAGGAGAAGCTCCTACTGCTGCTGTACCAGACGAACTACGTCGTCGCCGATCTTCCCGCTACGATCTATGCCTGCATGGGCAAGAATGTGCCCGCCAACCTAAACCTGGCCCGTGGTCTGCTCCCCACGGCCCAGTTCGTGTTGCTGCTGGTGCTGAGTTACGACGACGACATCATCCACAGCTGGGAGAAGTTCAAGGCCTTCATGAAGAGGGCCAACTTCACGGAGGCTGCCGAGGCCATCACGGATGGTGAGATCTCGAGTCTCGAGACGGCCATGAAGCAGAACACGACGTGCGGCGAGGAGATGCGGTCGCTGACCAACCAGGTCTGGATGACGGTGAACGAGTACCGCGAGGAGAACCCCAAGATCAAGGACTCCGAGATCCGCCTCAAGATCAGCCAGTCGGACCTCGTGCTGTACGACATCGCCACGGTGACCAACAACTGCATGAGCCAAATGATCTCCGAGTCGACGTTGGCCACGGCCTACAAGACCCGTGACACCCTCCGCAAGACGTTCGGCGTCATCATCAACGACCTCATCAAGTCTGGCAAGAGTGACAACGGCACGTCCTTGGCCGCGAAACACAAAGCCTACGTGTTCATCGATAACGCCATTACGATGGCCTCCGTCACGGGTCTCGAGCCCACGGATCTGTCGACGCTGTTCGCTGAATTCCTGCAGACGATCTGCGGTCCGACGCAGTTCATGGGCGAGATCGACGACGGCGATGAGGCCGCCACCCTGGGCATGAACGCACTCAAGAAAGCCTTCAAGAACAGCACGCTCTCCTGGTCCAAGAAGGGCGACGGTGCGGTCATTGTCAACTTCACGAGCAAGGACACGAAGGACGTGACGGTCAACATTATGTCGGGCGGTGACAAGATCGACGAAGTCGACATCAAGGCTGGAGGCACCGCTCAGTGGAAATCAAATGTCACGGCTCTGGGTGGCAAGACGCTGTACCTCGACCGCTGGCGTCCGGGTTTCCTGGGTCTTCCCGGTACTGGCGGAGGTTCGCTCGTGCTGTGGGTGCCCATCGCCCGCCAGGGAGGCCACTTGGAGGTCAACGCGCAGCTCAACGTCAGCTAGATGTAGGACGGATGTTTGTGAGTCGTCACGGATGAAATCGCCAAAGAGGCGCTAGAACTCGTTATTGATTGTAAACGAGTTAGTGAGATAGAAGCATACTATAGCTTCGAAGTAGATTGATGTCAGCAATACGCTCTTCTCGTATTGTTCGCATTGCACGGATAACTCCCGAGCTGTAGTCACGTGTTGAGTGTAACACAAAACCAACATAACTTGGCACGAGCTTCACCTTAGCAAGGCTGTTGGTATGGCCCTCAAGGCGTGACGGATTGGTGCTGATGCAATGTATCCGCTGCTTAGACCTGTTTCGTTAGCATCTACTGTACAGGGCAGCTAAGAAGCGATGGCACAATAATATTAGCGTTAATAAGATTCCACTTTACATCGGATCGGAAGCAGCCTTGAGCCCTCAGTTATGCCTCCCTCAGGTGTACAACCTGACAAGTTGACTGTAAAATTCACGGTGTGAATTCTCGTGATGACCACGACTTGACGTTCACGGTGTGCTTCAAAGCCGACAACGTGACAATTGCAACGCTGAGAACAGCCACCAGACACCAAGAGCGAAGAGATGCAGACCACCGCAACCAAGAAATACGAAGCCACCAAGGAGAAGCAGATCACCACAGCCAAGTACGAAGTAGCCACCCCAGACAGAGATGCAGATGGATCACCGGCAACCATATACATGTATACAGCGTCAAACTCCAGCTCTAGGACATCACGACGCGCCACGTTGCTCTAAACATCCTTTCCGTATCAATTACTTCTCCTCCGTCTCCTTCTCCTCATCATCACTAACAGCTGCAGCAGCGCCGCGTCCAGGCTTGGCGACGATGTAGTAGGTCGTGCCGAAGTGGAAGCGGTGCACCGTCTCGACCTCCAGGCCGGCTTGCTCCACCAGCACCAGGATGTCCCGGTTCCAGTGGCAGCCCCACTTCTGCGCGTGCAGGTCCGCGAACTTGTCCAGCAGGCCCGACAGCCACGCGTAGCTGCTGCGCCCGTGCTCGAGCAGCAGGATGCGGCCGTCCTGCTTGCACACGCGCTGCATCTCCCGCAGCGCGCGCGCCGAGTCGTCCATGCTGCAGAGCCCGAAGGTGTCTACCACCGTGTCGAACTCGCCCTCGCCGAACGCCAGCTCGTCCGCGCGCATCACGCGCAGCTCGCAGCTGGCCACTTGCTGCCGCTGCGCAGTCGAAACCTGGTCCAGCATGCCCCGACTGAAGTCCGTCAGCACCACATCTGCGCTCGGCGGGTAGAAGGCCAGGTTGCGGCCTGTGCCGACCGCCACCTCCAGCACGCGGCCGCGCGCGCGCCGCAGCAGGAAGCGCCGCATGAGCGAGATGCCCGTGAGCCGCTCGTCCCAGTCCACCTCGCGGTCGTACTGCGCCGCGTTCGCGTCGAACACCTGCAGCCGCCGGGCGTCGTCCACGTGCGGCGCGTCGGCGTTGGCGCCGCTTTTCTTCGGGTCGTACAGCGTCACATACGTCGCGAAGGCCACGCCCGCGTAGAGCGCCGCGCCGCCGAGCAGCACACCGGGATGCCGCTGCACTGCCATCTTAACGGTAGCTCAGTCGAAATGTGCGTCTCAATTTCAGTGATTGTGATTTACGATTTAATCGATTGCGATTTGGGATTTGGTCCCTTTTGATTCATTTCAAATCTGGGCGGTTTTAGGATTTGGACCACCGGGTGGTGTCAAAAACAATTCGTCAAAATACAATCTCCAACTATAGTACCTTCAGTATAGGGATTTGTACTCCGGCGTACCATTTCTCATAACAATTTTGATCAGCTCAATACAACGATACGATCAAACACGATGGTGTATCAACTTTTTAACAGTGAAAGCGTAGCGTGGGTTCGTTACACTGGTTCTGCCTGTTTGATTGGCTCAAATGTTCGCCCACTTCTCGCACGGCGGGCGCACAAGGGAACAGCATACCGTTCGCTGCGATGGCTACCTTCGTCGTCATGAACGCAGGCGCTAATCTAGGCGGGACAAAGTGGCAATTTGGGCGAGGCCGCAAGCCGTCACAGCAGACCCTGTGGTCATGAAAACTACTTTATCAATCGGTAGACTCACTCGGTAGACTCGATACTAACTGGTCTGAGCAGTGGCGGTCATCCTGGTACTGGGGCCCAAGAGCTGCCACGCACGGCACTTGCAGTCATATGACCAAGGTCGCGAGCGCGGATACGACGTCTTTGGTCTGCTCACCGCTAGCAGCAGAGGCGGGCTGTGAACTTTCGTTGCGCTCAACTAAGACATATTATAGCAAGGGCTTTGTATTTGAGGTTGTTGCACGCGCCATCTCGTGGCCCAGTCGCCGAGAAACGCCGACAAGAGCACGAGCTCGTCCGGAGTCCCAGATCGGGAAGGCAATGCGAGCAGCAGGAGATGGACAAGGTGCCCAGCAGCGGCGTCTAAGTGCCCGCACCTGCTGGGGAGGAATTGCACCTAGTCCAGTGGTGGTAATATGTAGGAGAATGCACTTTTAAATACCTATTAAAATAGGTGTAGACGAAAAAACTCATGAGCACTTTCAAGCTCCAGGACTCCTCGGTCCATACGCGGCCGTCTGGCAACAGCACTTCAAAGCCTTATTTTTGACCAATCACATACCTCTATCTATGCGTCACCTGGTCTGGTTACGGAATCTCGACACAAGTCAATGTCAAAAATTGGTGACGATGAATGCTTAAGTGTAGTCTGTGAGCCGGCAGCAGCGGTTACCATTTTGCATGACGATACTCGTATAGAAGTGCACGTCGCGAGGCTCCGTCGCACACCGCCCACTCAGGCACCAGCTCTGTGCTCATAAGTCGCAACCACGCACACCTTGGCGCGGGTCTTTTTATAACGAGACGAGTTTTTTACACGAACTCGGGTTCTTTGTAGTCGTTGTGGCCTACTAGCAGACACAGTGGAGTGAGCTATAAGCAAGGAGGCGAGCGTTAAGGGCCTTCGGCTACCCGCCCAGGCCAAAAGCCCAATATATATCAAGTGGGGCTCATTCTCGTTGAGCAGGGCTGGAGTCTTGGTCAAGGCTACCACAGGCCTAACATGGTGTGTAAACGGTAGCTCGATCTGTAATATGGTAGGCGGATCATAGTATAACATGGTAGGCAACATGGTAGAGTGCGCCAACATGGTAGAATATTGTAGCTGATTAGGTTCGATTGCCTCTGATTGGTCGATACTTGAATTCAAGGTCACTAGCGATAAAGTACGACTAAATCAAGGTCAGTAGTGATAAATATCCCGTCTATGAACCAAACCCAGGGGTGGTACAAGGCAGTAGTAAAATTGCAAGATTAGCTTCGGACTGCCTGGAAGAATGTGAAATATGGCATGAGAAATTCGCTTTCCACAACCGCGCTGGGCAAGCTGGGACTGGCACAGTTCCGTTTAAGACTCAGTCCTCGTGAATCAAGTGCTGGGTCGGTCAGTAGTTGCGGTTCTGCCGAGCTGCGTTGCATGGTATCCTGTGATGCGGCTCCATGCCTATTGGAACTCTCCTCTACGTCGGTTTCCGTGTTTCTTGTGCGCGCATTCTCACTTGGGAAATCATGCATCTCAACGCTGTCGTTTACTTTACGGTGTATCGGCCTCAGCTTACGCGTTACAGCCCGAGTGTCAAAAATTGCTGAAAGAGTCACCGATGGCGATTCTTTCAGCCGCTTGCAATCTATTGATTATTTTTACTGATTCTAAAGTCACTAACTTACGTTTAGTTTGGCTTCAATCTCTAGGTGGCCTCCCTCCGACGCCGTCGGGACCCACAGTACCAACGACCCGCCTCCTGTGCCGGGAAGTCCGAGAAATCCTGGCCGCCAGCGATCCAGGTACAACGTCTTGCCGCCCAGCGCAGTGATGTTCGACCTCCACGTCGCGTTCCACTTCGTCGATCTTGTCGCCGCCCGACATGATGTTGACCGTCACGTCTTTCGTGTCGGAGCTAGAGAAGTTGATGATCACAGCGCCGTCGCCCTTTCTGGCCCAGGAGCTGGAGCTGCCTCTGAAGGCTCGTTGGAGCGTGTTCAACCCGAGCGTGGCGTCCTCGTTGCCGTCGTCGATCTCGCCCATGAATTGTGTAGGTCCACAGACCGTCTGGAGGTACTCGGACAAGAGCGTCGCGATATCTGTCGGGTCGATCATGGAGGCGGAGATGGTGGAGAGGCCCATGTCGATCTACTTGTACGCGGCCATCTTCTCGTCCAGCGACGTGCAGTTTTCGCTCTTGCCGGACTTGATGAGGTCGTTGATGATGACTCCGAACGTCTTGCGCAGGGTTTCCCTCGTCTTGTTGGCGGTCTCTTTGCTGGACTCGGAGATCATTTGCCTTGGTCACCTTCGCCTACAGCACGAGGTCGGACTCGCTGATCTTCAGCCGCAGCTCGTCGTCGGTGATGCCCGGATTATCTTGCCTGTACTCGTTCACCGTCAGCCAGACGCGGTCAGTGAGCGACTTCAAGTCGCCACCGCAACTCGAGTTCTGCTTCATGGCCGTCTTGAGTGAATCGATCTCCCCCTCCGTGATCTCCTCTGCTGCCTCCGTGAAGTTGGCTCCTTTAAGAAAGGCCTTGAACCTCGACCAACTGGAGATGATGTCGTCGTCGTAGGTGAGCGCCTGGAGCAGCATCCACTGCGACGTGGCCAGCACGATCTGCGAGAGCCGCAGCTTGGAAGGGATCTCCTTCCCCTTACACGCGTAGATGGCCATGGGCAGGTCGGTGACCACGTTGTTCGTCTGGTACAGCATGAGCAGGAGCTTCTGCTGCGTCGTCTGCGGGTCTTCCGTCTTGACGTTGCGGACGTACCGAATAATACCTCTCATCACCAGCAGCAACTGGTTCGTGCACTTGACGGCCCACGTCAACTTCTTGCCCAGCTTCACCAGCTCACCGACCACGCCCAAGGTGGCAGTGCCGAAGATCGCCATGGCCAGCGCCGAGACCTTGCTGGCCACTTCCAGTCCACAGTCGCTGTTCTGTCGGATGCATTCCATGCCGCACTCCACGGGGAACTCCATAGGGCACTCGGTCCAGCACGTGTTCGTGAGTTCATTCCGGTCGAAGTTGCTTGGACAAGTGTCCATGACGTGGGCCTCGCGGTAGCACGACGTGTCCGAGGACAGACTCCAGGGCCCCACCCAGTTGCGATACGTTGAGGTGACGGTATGGCAGGCGTGGCATACTTCTCCAGCAACGCTGCGCCATCGAACGACGAAGAGTGTTGGAAGTGCTGCAGGCACGTAGGTGTAACCCCATGGTGGGGGTACACGGTTACGACACCAGAGTCGTACCCACGACAGATCTTTAGGAGATTCTAGAAGCTTCGTAGGGGCGACCGCCCAGGAGGACACGTAGAGAGAGAGAACTCACTTCTCGATTGGTAAAGCCACTGACGAGCGCCCCGGCGGGGGACCGAAACGCGTCTGGCACGCGTTCAATAAAGAGGTCGTACATGCATGCTCCAAGTACTTCCTACAAAGAGTCTGAAGCAAGCTCCGCTGTTGCTGGCAACGTAGACTCCGCTGACATAGCCGTTGAAGGGACGGCACCATGGGACGAGGACTCTGCCGTTGAAGCGGAAAACACCACCAACAAGCCGAACAGTATTCTTGATAGACCCATGGTGCTGTCGCTCTGAGACTAGCCAGGAAGACGCAAAATGAATGTGTGCTTGCTTGGCGCCGGTTCGCCGTCGGCAGCGCAGGGCTGGGCCTTGAGCGCGAGAAGAAGGATCACCGGGTCATCTGGAACTGCTGATCGGATCTAAGCGAGCAACCTTCAGGCGAGCATTGCTGGCTCCCAGGGGCCTATCGGGCTCGGAAAAATCCAGCACCGGCATCTGCGCTGCGAGCAAGCCAAGCACTGCCACGGCGATGATCGTTTAACGCTGATAGGATCGTTCAAAACTGAAGATTGACGACAAGCGCGGTGCAATCCCTGGATTAAACACACGTCCTGGATGAGGAGGATGAGGAAGACAACGGCGACGAAGAGGCGGTGGATTGCTACCAAGAGGAGGAAGACGAAGAAGAGGTCGATGATGACGAGGAGAGCGATAGCGATGAAGAGGAGGCGAGTGACGATGAACAGGAGGCAGACGACGACGGAGAATCCAGCACAGAAGACGAAGCAGAAGCGGGTAAGACTCGTTTGGATTATTGTTGATACTTATTGAGTTGAACTGATAATGTATGTGTATTTTTTTAGTTTGTTTAGAACGCAGGACACGCAAACAGAGCCCCGAGCCGAGAAAGAAAGCCACAGCACGCAAGAAAACACCAGGTACTCTCGTTAAAGTTGCTTTAAGCAAAAAGGTTGCGCTATCATTAATATTGACATTCACTTTGGAATCGATAGACACCGCTCTGGCCAAATGCAAGTTTTCTGCTGGGGATGAAGTCCACTCTTTCGCGAAAAAGCGTAACGCGGAGCTGCAGCTTCACGAGTCTGTCGACGCTGATTCGGCCCCACGTTTATCCAAGCGGAACAAGCAGTACATACCGCGGAAGCGATCAAGCAAGCTCCTTGACGAGTTGCGGGAGATCAACGAGGAGCGCGAAGAAATTATCAACCCCGTTCCGCCCTTTACCCCAGTGATTATCAAGAGTTGGAGCAAGTTCAACGCACACTTGAAAATATACAAGCAGAAGCACCACCTCAAGTTTCGAGTACGAAGCTCGGAGACACGAAATCAGTACAACAGGTATGTGTGACCTCTGTTTGATGAGAAATTTAAGTTATTAACGAAACCCCCTTTCATATGCAGCAATCATCGGGACCAAATCCCTTCACGTTTTAATTGGAGTCACAAGGTCCTTCGCTGTAGACACGGTGTTTCGCAAGCGTCGCGCTCCAAGGGACATCGCAATAGAAAAGGCAACTATTGCGGGTGTCCTGCACGCATGACACCAACCGTTCAGCGGATGGAAAATGGCAAATTTCGAATTGTCATAAGAAACGAGGTATCTGCCTTTTTGTGTATTTGTTTGCTTTGTTAGTATTTCTCACATGTCGCTGTTGATTATCAGAACTTTACCCACACGCACCGGACCACCCGAACGCAAGCATCGTTGTACCTGACAAGAAAGACACTTCCGTTGGACGAGCAAGATCTCGAAGATGTTAAGACTTTAACGGATGCTAGTGTTTCTTCCAAGCACATCACGAACTTCCTGAATGAGAGAATCGGTGCGTAGTTTTATATATGATATGCTGAAGTGATACTTACGTTACTGTTCGCGCTTTGTGTGTTTGCTAGGCTGCAAAATAACACCTCAACAGACCCGTAACTGATCCGCAGTATTATGGGGCACGACGCAGCGGAGGCCCGTTTGAAAGACATGCTGCAAGCTATCCGCCAGTTAGACGGTAGTGACGTCCTTGTTATTCAAGACCAAATGGACGTGACATGTGGTATCGTGATGCAAACAAAGGTGCAGAAGTTGATGTTCGAGCGCTGGGGCGACACTCTTACGATGGATTTCACTCACGGCACGAACAATTTGGGCTATCACTTGGGTGCGTATGAGTTGTTCGGTATAGCAACTTTATCTTTGTTACGGCAACCTTGCGTAGTTATAGCAACCATATCGATGATATAGCAACCTTATTAACAAAGTGATTTTCTACTGTTGTGTGTTGGATATTTCAGGGAGTCTGGTCGTCACAACCGCTACTGGTAGAGGGTTCCCAGTTGTAGACTTCATATGCCTCAACCAACGAGCTCCGATGATGACAACAATCCGGGAGTATTTCCAAGAGAAGAACCCAAGTTGGCGGATGATATCCTCCATGGTGATCGACAAAGATTGCGTTGAGTGGAGGGTGCTGAAAACACTATTTCCTGCTGCGAAAGTTTTACTTTGTCAATTCCATGCCATTTCGTACTGGAAGAAGGTGATGCAGCGGGCCCCATACAAGCTGAAGGTGTCTGAACGCGACGAGTTACTCAACCTGATGATAAAAACGCTGTACAGGTACGCAACAGGTTCTATTTATGATTCTTGTGGTAACGCTAACTTTGGAAAACAAACCATATGAAGCTCCACAGAGACAGGTTACGATTCTAGTTACGGTGCATTCAAGCAATACTGCGAAGACAACAAGAAACAAGCTTTATTCTCGCACTTTGAAAAGAACTGGGATTCGTGTCGAGACATGTGGGCGAACTTTGCTCGCAGCAAATTTTTCACGGCTGGGAATACTACAACGAACACGATCGAGTCAAACTGGAATCAAGTGAAAATACTGTTGGGGCACAAGACACGAATTTGCAAGACTATTGCGGGCTTGGTGCAGCATCAAATCATGATAACTCAGCAGATCGGGTTCGTCATCGCGCAGCACCATTCGACTTCGCCCGTTCCTAAAACCGTACCGATGTTTCTCCGGACGGTAGCAACTCGACTGTACCCTGACATCTTCGAGAAAGTGAGAAAAGAGTGGGAACGATTTGTGAACTTCATGGCAGATGCGACTTGTGAGCGTACAGCGTCGAGTCCTTCACAATGGAAAATTTATTGCAGGAATCAAACCTTTTGCTGTCACGATGTGGAGTGGATGTGTACTTGTCTATTTTATAGCAGTCACCATTTACCATGTCGTCATCTTATGCACTTAGCACGCGAGGGGCATGGCTTCAAACTGCTTCCAGCTATGGCAATTCATGATCGGTGGAGTACGTACCAGACCTTGGAAGTGAAAAACGAATTGACGGCTGCAGCGGAAATGTTACAGCCAATTGTGCAGATGTCCAAGTTAAGGTTGCCGAAAGTAAAGTTGCCGAACGACACTGGGGCTGAACCAGAACAACCACTTTATGCTGCGGGGGTTAACGCTTCGCCAACCAAAGCTAGGAAGCCAGTTGCGTACGTACGGCTACGGCGAGGTGAACGGGCAAACCAGGTTGTATTGTCTTCAGCTGAAAAATACGCATACGCAAAAGCGATGCTGGAACCGCTATTGGAACACCTGTCAGATTTGTCTAGTGCAGACTTCTACCAAGAGCTAAGTGCCTGGAAGGAAACGATCGACATAGGGCTCAACCGTGTCAACCCTGCCCCCCAACCGAGTTCTACAGAATCTGCTGAAGATAGCAAGCAAGAAGAAGATGTATCTGAACCTGTTTCAGACTCCATTCTGGACCCCGTGGAGGCAATGGGGGCTATGACGCTCATGGACGCATTGGAAAGCAGCCCCATGACCATGAATTATGGCGATTACGAGTCCGACGAAAGTATGTTACCGACACAACGCACTCACCTTTCGCAGTCATCTCCAATTCGACCCCCCATCGACGAGAAATCTCATGACAGCTGCGGAATGAGTAGCTGTGACAAGGTTTCAAGCTCTACGAAGCCTGACACAGAGTCGCGCGTGCGCCAGGTCGATGTCGTTAGAGTTCCTAAGCCACCAAGCCAAGGAAAGTCAAGGTCAACTCCGAAACAGCTGAGGCAAACTACGATCAGTCTCAAAGCCGACCGTCTTGCTGTTCACAAGTACCCCACTGAACTTGCCGTGACTTTGGATCAGTTCCTGATTTGGGCCAGAAACACATCAAATCTGAAGCGCGTGATGGAGATGCTGTCGAAGTATCCTGTTCAGCTGGAGGATGCCTATCTAAGAGCTCGGAAGATTGATTGTCATTGGGAAATTGTACGACCTGCGGACTGCATGCACACATTTGTAATTCCACAAGACCTCGCCCTATCAATGCAGGCAGCAACGACTACTACCCGGAGGAGAAGCAGCCAATTGTACTGGATGAAAAGGCCAAGAAGCAAGGACTTGTTCTCGACGTCGTCTTGGCGATTGATCCAAAACTGTGGAAATTTAGCGGGTATGGTTGCTTTAGCGATATGGTTGTTTTAGCGATATGGTTGTTTTAGCGATATGGTTGCTTTAATAGGGTTGCTTTAACATACTTATGTTTCTAGACAATATGTAGGTGCTCTAACAGGATTCTACGCGATCAAGGCGAAGTGTACTTCATGGTTGAAGGACCGAAAGTGGCTGGAGCAAGATTGGCGTAAAGTTGACTCCATCGTGGGTCTTTTCACTGCAGAGACAGCAACTGCAGGACTACCGCGTGATGCTGTTCCCGAGCGGCACCAAGGTCTAGCGAACGAAATTATCTCAAAGTTTACTTCAAGTCGGCTACGCACTGAATTTGTGACGCTCTCCCACAAAGTCCTGATCAGCTTTGACAACATCGTGGGAGGGATCTGTCGTGGATGGCTAAATGATAGCCCTGTGGACTTTTGCTTGGAGACCCTTGCGAGATCGGTGGGGAAGTGCCATGTGCTGTCATCACTGACATGGGCTATCGGATGGCCAAGTCTCCCTAAGACAGCACTTGCAGCAACGAATTTTATTATCCACCCCGTTAATCTGCACGCAGACCACTGGGGGGTAATTATCCTTCGCCTACGCTACACGGCAAAAACAAGCAAGCTTCGGGTGCATGTTTACATGTACGAGCCGCTCATTGATGATGACTATCACCATGACATGGAAATCGTGTGGACTGGACTTCCGAAAGACAAAGAAAATGAAGGAAAGGAGGGGCTTCGTGGTTAGGTGGAGCGGTGGCACAAGGCTTCTGACTCCCGTGGCCACTTTTCTTCGATCCGATTGAGTGGATCTGTGCCCCTCAACAACCTGGTTTTGCTAGCTGTGGTGTAATGGTAGTAGCCCAAGCCCACAGCTATCTTACGGAGAACTTGCAGATGCAACTTTCTAGAATTTCCAAGAACGACGTCAAGGTGATGCGATTGAAAATGCTGTGGGTCATCATGTGATACTCTCAAGAACGTCATCTCTCTGAACGCGACGTCGCTAAAGCTAGCCAGATTCATCAGCAGCTACAGAACCAGCTCTGAGAAACACCACAGTTTGTATTTACCTTTAAATGCAGAGTCTATGCTGCATTAGTCTTTCATTTTTCGCACCGCCAGCTCCAGTAGAACATCGAGGGAAAAAGCGTCGTCCTCTGCGGTGAGACCACCTTGGTCGCTTCATCACCCAAGACGGCTGCTAACGCATAGCTGTTCTCTTCGCGATCTTCGACGAGGGCTTGGATTTGTAGCTGCGCTGCCAGAAGCTTTTCCAGATGCTCGGTAAGCACATCTAGCTTCTTCTTGAGGAGTGCAATCTCGGCGATTCTCGCGCGCACCAGCTCATGTGCCAGCGATTTCTTCTCCATTTTTGCTGTCGCTCAAAATCTGCTAAGTGTTGAAAAGGTGGGACACATATTGTCATGTGTTTCACGTATTGCTGTGTAGAGAACATCAGTTAGACGCCACCACGACGTGTCTAAATTTAGAGATATATGTAGCAAGACCATGACGAGGGCGACGTGTCCCTGCCATTTACGCGTCATATAAAATAAATTACCGGGTGCCAGCTGGTTTTAGGGTTGCTTTAGGCCTTGTGGTTGCTTTAATTTCTGTCGTGTTGTCGTCATATGGTTGCTGTAACGCCATTCCAATCTCGGAGGCTCTGGGGCTTTTCCAACTTATCCCTTGATAGCCAGGTCTGCGGAGGTGGCAGTTGCCTGTGTGCCAAGTCATCCTCTTGAAGGACTGGCCTAGACGGCATCGTTGCGACCTCGCTGCAGCATCGACGCCGTGTTGGTGGTGCTGCAGTTGAGGTCGCTTGTTAAGCCATTAGTTATCCCGAACACGGGCGCATCTAGCGCACATAAACTGCCCCGGTAGATGCGCGTCTTGAAGCCTTTCGTCCCTTTGCATCCGCCAACATGCAGGCGCGAGCAGGGGAGCATATTACTGTACAGGAGTGTTGCATCACGCTGTCTGGGCAACGCGTTCTCGCGAGCCGCTTGCTGCTACAGTAGCGGAGACGCTGGCAAGTCCCAGATCCTATCTTAATCGTCCCAGTTGACGGGGGGCACAGCGCAGCACTCGATCTAGGATTGTCATGGGTTCGGGACAAGAACTTGCTCGAACTCGTCTGGGCTGGGCTGGGTAAGCTCTCAGATTAGAGGCAACGACAGCGTGCCGTCCTAGGTACACAATACAGAGAGAAGCGGCAACAATAAAGGGTCAACAACTTATAATTCTGACAACAAATAAATATTGAACTATACATGGCCTCTATTTAGGTACTGAGTTTGTCAAAGTGATGTGGCATACACACAGCAGTCGAAGTTCCCGGCCCCTTTTCAAACTCCAAGGAGTGGCTCCGAGCACACGCAGTGGCTGAACCACTGCCGTCACACTTACTTTCTCGCCGCCATTACCCCGCAAACTGCCGCTAAGGAAGACCATGATCGCCTGCAGTTTAAAACGGAGGTGTTGTCCAACGTGCACATGTTGGGTTTGCACAAGCTCAGCGAGCTGACACACACCGCCGAGACGTATTGTAGCTACAGTAATGTGCGGAGGCCGTGGACAAGCAGGGCGTCGTGGTGACTCGCAGCCAATGCATTTGAAGATTGTGCGCCTCAGGAAGACGAGTACGACGGCGATACCAGTGCCTGTAGCGCCGAAGTCCTTCGTCGATCGGGCCAAGTAATAACGTACCTAACCTGTTTCATTTATTTTGTTAAGTCAATACGTTTAAAGCTCTGTAAGATTTGATTTGACTTGATTATTGTATATATCTTCAGTACTTTAATCGTTGAACCCTTTCTTATTGCCGCTACTCTCTGTACTGTTAATTTTGACAACTTGTCAAAAGCAACACCAACGCACTTTAGCTCACATTAAGTTTCACATTTAGCTCTAAGTGGCCACCTTTGGAAGCTTTCGGCACCCACAACACCAAGGATCCGCCTCCTGTTCCACGAAGACCCAAGAAATCCGAGCGCAAGCGATCCAGATACAACGTCTTGCCGCGTCCATTTCACGGTTCCACCTGCAGACACCGAAACCTCGTCGATTTTCTCCCCTCCGGAATGAACATTCACCATCACGTGTTTAGGACCGTTCTTAAGTTCCCGGGACGAATCCCGGGAAAAGACCGTCCCGGCTTTGGTGTACATGGATGTATTGAACCAGCGTAGTGAAAAAGCTATACTGCCACCTTTTCTGTGGCATGAATATGTTGCTGGGGTGCTCGCACGCCCAGGGCGCTTTCTGCCCAGGCGGCGGCATTCCGCCCGCAGAGCGTTTGCCCCCCCCCACGTCTGGTACGTCGCCATCGCGCCTTCAATACGACCTAGCTCCTCCATTGTCGACTTTTTTGCTTGGGGCCTTTTACGAAGTAAAGTCCGCCTCCCACTCGTCCCGCTCCCAACGACGCGAAATAAACTTGGGAGCTGCTGGGACTTGGAAGATGCCTCCCTCCTGCCAACGGACGCACTGGCCAATCAGAACGCGTTATTTAGTCCCGGGACGTGGGAGCGGGAACTTAAGAACGGCCCTTAGTGTCAGCGCTGGAAAAGTTGATGATGACGGCGCCATCGCCCTCTCTAGTCCAGGAGCTGGTGCTGCCGTTGAAGGCGTCTTGAATTGTATGCAGACCCAGCGTCGCAGCCTCATTACCGTCGTCGATCTCGCCCATAAATTGCGTAGACCCACAAATAGTCTGAACGTAGGCGTACAGCAGTGTCGAGATATCGTAGGTATTGAACCCACTCATAGACAGAACACTTAGACCCATTTGGAGAGCTTTGAACGTGTAGTGCTTGGCCTTCAGCGTCGTACCGTTGTTACTCTTCCCTGACGAGATGAGGTCGTTGATAATGACTCCAAACGTCTTGCGCAGTGTTTGGCGTGAAGTATAGGCGGTCGCTTCCGACGATTGTTCAATCATCAACGCCATGCAGTTGTTGGTCACGGTCGTGACGTCGTAGAGAACGAGGTCCGAGTTGCTGATCTTGAGGAGCACTTCGGCGTCGCTCATATCGGGGTCCTCCTGTCTGTACTGCTCAATCGTCATCCACGTGCGATCTAATAAGGACTTCAAGTCGGCTCCGCACGTCGAATTGGACTTTATCCATGTCTCCAACGAGGAAATGTCTGTCGAGTTGAGTCCGTCCGCAGCTTCCGTGAAGTTGGCTCCTACCAGGAACGCCTTGAAGTGGCTCCAGCTTGAAATGATCTCGTCGCCATTGGCCAGAATCTGAGAGAGGATGTACTGTGAGGTCGCCAGCACTTACTTGGACGTAAAGAGGCTTGACGGGAGGTTCTTGCCGAGCCAGTTGCCGATGGCGATGGGTATGTCGGTCACGACGTTGTTGGTCTGGTACAGGATGGCCAATAGCTGCTCTTGAGACGTCTGCGGATCGGACGTCTTGATGTTGCGGATGCACCTCACCAAATGTCACAGTAGTAGGCCGAGCTCACGCTGAAGAGCTCAGCCTAGTGCTAGCACTTGACAGAAGAAGCTGGGGTTGAGTCGATGACGACGGAGTTGCTGTAGAAGTTGTAGCTGTATTTGTTGTCCTTGTTACGCTTGCTGTACTTGTTACTTGAGAAGCGGAAGCACTACTAACTCGCTACGATGGTGTGTGGCCTCTAGCTCACGCTGTGAGGTCGCGGAGAGCCAACACACACTGCTTGGCCAGAGCAGTAAGGAAGCAGGTCGACTTGCTAACTTGTGGGTTGATTCAAGAATGAGAGCCCTGAGTCGTCGCGCCTGCTCAGCACTTCAACTGTAAGCACCCTCACTCGTTAAACTTACCTATACTAAAGCTAAGTCAGAATAAAATGCAGGCGTGGCATTGGCCACGCTGGTTTCCTGGCGAACGAGCAACTTTAAGTCCCATCTCAGCCTCCACTGGCTTCTCCTGCCATCCATCACATTGATCCTGCCATACTTCATGCGTTTCCGCTGCTTGGCTGCACCTCGGACTCGCACTGCAAGCACCAGTCGTAGATGTCAGCTCATTTCCGCCACACCAAACCTCGGATCACAGTCATCATCGAGTTGGCGCACTTGACCACGCGCGTGATGCCTTTGACGATATCCTCCAGCTTGCCAAAGACGCCCATGGAGGCTGCATCCAGAGTGGTGACAGCGATCACGCCGACCTTATTGAAGACTTCAAGACTGCAGTGGTCGTTCTGTCGGATGCACTCCATGCCGCATTGAACAGGGCTAGGCAAGCGGACACTGCGCCCAGCACGTGTAAGTGGCGTCATTGCGGTTGTAGTCGGTCGGGCACGTCGGCATAATGTGCGCTTCTCGGTAGCAGGCGACGTCGGACGACATGGTCCAGGTGCCCACCCAGTTGCGGTACGTGGAAGTAACCGTGCTGATCGCTGTAGCGGGCGTGGCGATGGAGTAGTTCTTGGTAAACAAGTCGTCGTTGACAGTTGATGAAGACGCGGGAGCTGCTTGCTCGACTAGTTGCCTTTCCGTCCATTGTAGCTAGTAGGGGGTTGCTTGTACAGGATGACAGCAGCGAGGCCCAAGACTTATTGACGCCTGAACAGGACAAGCGCGAAGCGACCACGAACTAAGTCAAGAGATGATCCAAACTACACATGTGGGCTTTATATAACTCAATGGAAACCTCCATTTTGATATATGGAGAGTAGCACATAGTGACCATGTTGCGTTGGCGGCACCAAGTGCTAATAGTTAGCAGGTGCTTCCAAGCCGATGAATTCTAAATTATTAACACGGAAAACGCTGTTGAGAAATCAAGATAGATTCCGGGAGAGCTCGAAAGTGGTTTCGTTACGCGAGCCTGATTGTTCTACCCACAAAACCAGAAACACCTACAGAGTGGCATTCGAATACATACTATGTGAGTCATCAATTATATCGCTTTCTGACGTAGGTGTTTGTAGATCTTGCGATATAAGCAAGGTCCAGGAAACAACTACATGGTATCGGTGGCAACAACCAGCCTCCATTTCAACATTACCGACCTTTTGAGAAGTACTTCAGTCGTAAAAGATGTAATATTCCTATAGACACGCAGGTAGCCTCTTGCCAGGAACTAATCTAACAAAAATTGCATGTCGAGGGCCGCCGTGGCCAGGGGGGACGGCCAATTTGGCGTCTGATGGGGACGGGCTCGGTTGGAGGTGGCAAATGCTCAGATGTGGTTGACGTAGACCATACATATGGCCCAGAACTGGTAAATGTTTCTTGCCAAGTCGCCAAACCAGTCTGAAATGAATATGGGGGAGCTGCAGGACTTGGCTGTGCAATCGGCGGGTAGAGAGGCTGGAAATGCTGTGGATCGAGCTGGAAAGCCACCGGGTCTGGTAAAGTCGCCGTGTAACCAGTTGGTCTGTAGGCATATGCTGTGTATCTGGTGTGATCTTGCGGACAAAGGTTGAAACCAGGCGCGAAGCCAATATCGAACCCGACTTCTGCCCCGACCACACCAAGACTTTGAGCTGGGAAGTTATGCGCATGTCTCCTGAGATCGGACCCGGTGTGATTGCCATGCAGCGACACTTCGTTGGCTGCCAGCAGTAAACCGGTAGCTGAATCATCTACATGCACTGTAGCCGCACTGCTCACATGTGGACGCTTCAGGCGCACACGCCTATCCTTGAATCTTAAATTGGACCCATTAACTCCAGGCACGCTGAGTCCGTAAGCCGCACGTCCACAGATTATGTGGGCACAAGACAGGAACTTCTTATAGAAAAGACATGAGCACTCAACGTACTCAGGTGCACCGCCCACCCGCCTCGTGGCATGCCAACGTGGTGCGCGCGGCGTACAGACCATTTCACAGCTTCCTGATAGAACTTGGCAGCGGTAGCCTTTTCTGCATCTGTTAAACACTCGGGCGATATGATGACAGGAGTTTTGACGTTGCTGGGGGCCTCCAACTCGTCAAGATCAGACAGTTCGGGGCGGTCTTCCAAATGACCACCGCAATGATATAGCACGCGAACAACCGACTTCTCGGTCGTAGCGTAAACGACGACTCGGTTGGTCGACACTAACGTTCGGGCCAGCTGCTTTGCAACTTGAGGCGGGGCGTTTGGTCCAGATGCCATGGGAGGTGGTACACACAGCGAATAATCTTCTGCAATCGTCAGTAGCTTCATCAACAAACGGCGCGTATCCGCTGCCTTGCGCTGCGTATAGCGCTTGATGCTGGCATTAAACACTTCACATGGGTTGTTGGTTGTAGCGTACCCCCCTGGAGAGTGATAAATCTGCCATCTCCAGAAGCGGCTATGAATCCATTGTGCCGCGAAATATGTCAAAAAGACGTGCAACCTTCTATCGCATTGCCACTCTTGAGATACACGCCCCCACACCTCCCAAAATTCGGTTTGGTTGAGTGTGTAGTGCATGTCAAGAATACCACGATACACCATAGCTCGCACCGAATCTGGTAAGTGTCGCACTCGCTTGCGTACATTGTACATCACGTGGAAGAAACACATCAGGTACGGACAGGTTGCACATTCTGCAACATCCCGCAGTCCGTTCAATTGGGCCTCTTCGGCGTCGCCCATTATCACGTCAACTCGAAGTGGTCTTTTCATGTGGGTCCTGAAAATTCGTGCGAAAGCTCCAATCGATTCGTAATATTCGCGTCGGGTCCTTTGGCTAACAATGAAAAGCGCGGCTAGGTGGTAGCTTCGGTGGCGATCGGTGAAACCGCACGTAACAACAGGGTAACCGATGTCGCTCAGCTTGAAAGTAGCGTCCAAGTGAAAAATGAGAAATGCTTCGCGATCCTGTAGCGAACTGATGTTTTGCATTAGCTTCAAGCTCGTGATTCCAAGTATCAACGGTTCATCATCTTCCCCGTTCCCAACAAAATGGATGCCGTGCTCATCTTCACGATTTCCAAACACAAACGCGGTGTCGGGATCCACTCCAGCAACGAAGGCCTTCGCCTTCACTAACTCCTTCGTCCTGACAATAGAGGTTTTAGACCCCTGCAGCCATCGATTGTACTTGACACTACGCAGAACTTGAGGGCACGTCGGAAACCCAAGCACTGGAGTCGGTATTTCAGGTGCACGAAGCATGTTGCTCCAGATTAAGCGTGGTGGTACCGCGTTTTCGTCCATTCGCTGGATGTAGTCGCGCATTTCACGTGTCACCTTGGCGCGAGGAGGTAACGAACACGCTATGTCTTCACGCGCGTGTGGCTGGCCATTTGTGTACGCAATCCACCGCTTCGAAGTCGGGCACCCATGCACTTTCCAGAGCGTTGCACATTTAACAGTTCCTTTGCAGTCTGGGCTCTGACAGCGAAGGCGCCGCTCAGCCATCGAGTGGTCCCCGGGGCAAATCATACACCAGCGCGTCCTCACCCAAAATATGGCAGAACAGCAAAATCGCTCCCAGCGAAACTTGACTAACGCATCTTCGCCTTGGAACTCGGCTAACTTCGTCCAGGTGTGGTTTGGATATCTTTTCGATGAAGTAGAGCAGATAAATTCCACAATCAACAGAGTTTTGCTGCTGAGGCTTGGTAGGGCAGGCGTGACAACTCCATTTAACCGACCCCACCGAAGCTGTTTCTGGGACCCGCTCTTTCGCCAACCACCACTGCATCAAGGAAAACACGTTTGCCGTGTCATGCGCTTCTATAGCAGAATTAACGTGATACAGCCGAATGACGCCCCCCTCCAGGGGATTCTCAACCGCAAGAAAGCTCCAGTGACTATTACCGTTGACTGGAAGAATAACAAACCGGTACGATACCCAGTCAAATTTCCCTATGTGACCAGCGAGGCGCTCGTCCCTTGCAGCTTTCTCCTTCGTTCTTTTCACGGCTTGCATCGTTCGGAAAAAAGAAGTTCCGCGGCAAAAAATTAAGCCATTCTCCCGAGGCATGAAACCATGCACAAAATAATCAACGGCGGACTCTGTCAAAGTCTGATGCGGCATTAGGCTGTCCAGGTCCTCGCGATAGATCCAGCTCGTATCATCACCACGCGTCCACTCCAATATTGGCTTCTGCTTCCGCGACCTGGTTGCAGACTGCCTCCGAGGCAAAGAAGTCTTCTTAGCAGCTGTAGGCACCTCATACTCGCACTCTTCAGACTCGTTACAATCCATACTCTCGCTACTACTATCGCTTTCATCCGATCCAGCGCTATCGTAGCTGTCTTCATCGCTGTCTTCATCTCCACAGCCATCGAAGGGTACAGAGCCGTCACCGGGGGTTACACCATTATCTTGCTCGAGCTCACTGTCGACACCAGGGATTACGCCGCCATCACGAGGGGTTACACCATCATCACTAGTGGTTACTCCATCATTTTGACCGTGCTCACTGTCATCGCCACGGGTTACACCGCCACCACCAGAGGTTGCACCGCCGTCAGTAGAGGGTACACCGCCATCGTCAGGGGGTACACGTGCTGTGTAGCGTTGGATAAAACGTTTTACCCATGTTACTTGGGACTTTGGAATATCAAAATCCGAGTTGAATTCTTCCAGGCTCCGGCAATAAAACATCACATCGTCAAACGTCCAGTTGTCCTCCATAAGCTCATCAAGGTATTCGATTACTCTCCATTCGTCCGGCTTCATCTTGTGTTTTCGTCCTCCGCCTTCGTTGCGCTTGCGATCTGAGCCAACCTCTTTGTCACAAACATCCCAGTAGCGTTTCACCCAGCCTCTCAAAGTCGATTCCTTGACTTCAAGCTCGACAGCGGCTTCTTCTAGAGTCCAATCTGGGTTATCTATTTTCCAGCGCCTAAGAAGCGCAAGCTTCTCCTTCTCAGTGCGATTCACACACACCCGTCTCTTCATTCGGAAAAGGGGGGAAGGGAGGGGGAATTCTCGAATGATAGTCAGCCGTATATGGCCAATCATTTTAGGTATCAGATTTAATCAGATCAAGAGTAAATATCAAATTAACTCGCGCGAGTTATTCTGAATCCAGTATTTCAGATTTACTCGCGTGAGTTATTCTGAATCCAGCACTTTGAGGTTAGTATGAAGTACTTCGGGGTTAGTATGAAGTAGTGCGTAACCGACCTACAGCAGGCCAGGGGGGCTGTATGAGGTTCGAAGTGCAGTGCTTACATTCCCTAAGCCCGCATTTGTGGCGATACGCTTATACTTGAGCAGTGGTCGTGAGCTTATCCGGTTAACACGAACGCCTGCTCAGCCAAGTTGCCTTTCCGTCCATTGTAGCTAGTAGGGGGTTGCTTGTACAGGATGACAGCAGCGAGGCCCAAGACTTATTGACGCCTGAACAGGACAAGCGCGAAGCGACCACGAACTAAGTCAAGAGATGATCCAAACTACACATGTGGGCTTTATATAACTCAATGGAAACCTCCATTTTGATATATGGAGAGTAGCACATAGTGACCATGTTGCGTTGGCGGCACCAAGTGCTAATAGTTAGCAGGTGCTTCCAAGCCGATGAATTCTAAATTATTAACACGGAAAACGCTGTTGAGAAATCAAGATAGATTCCGGGAGAGCTCGAAAGTGGTTTCGTTACGCGAGCCTGATTGTTCTACCCACAAAACCAGAAACACCTACAGAGTGGCATTCGAATACATACTATGTGAGTCATCAATTATATCGCTTTCTGACGTAGGTGTTTGTAGATCTTGCGATATAAGCAAGGTCCAGGAAACAACTACATGGTATCGGTGGCAACAACCAGCCTCCATTTCAACATTACCGACCTTTTGAGAAGTACTTCAGTCGTAAAAGATGTAATATTCCTATAGACACGCAGGTAGCCTCTTGCCAGGAACTAATCTAACAAAAATTGCATGTCGAGGGCCGCCGTGGCCAGGGGGGACGGCCAATTTGGCGTCTGATGGGGACGGGCTCGGTTGGAGGTGGCAAATGCTCAGATGTGGTTGACGTAGACCATACATATGGCCCAGAACTGGTAAATGTTTCTTGCCAAGTCGCCAAACCAGTCTGAAATGAATATGGGGGAGCTGCAGGACTTGGCTGTGCAATCGGCGGGTAGAGAGGCTGGAAATGCTGTGGATCGAGCTGGAAAGCCACCGGGTCTGGTAAAGTCGCCGTGTAACCAGTTGGTCTGTAGGCATATGCTGTGTATCTGGTGTGATCTTGCGGACAAAGGTTGAAACCAGGCGCGAAGCCAATATCGAACCCGACTTCTGCCCCGACCACACCAAGACTTTGAGCTGGGAAGTTATGCGCATGTCTCCTGAGATCGGACCCGGTGTGATTGCCATGCAGCGACACTTCGTTGGCTGCCAGCAGTAAACCGGTAGCTGAATCATCTACATGCACTGTAGCCGCACTGCTCACATGTGGACGCTTCAGGCGCACACGCCTATCCTTGAATCTTAAATTGGACCCATTAACTCCAGGCACGCTGAGTCCGTAAGCCGCACGTCCACAGATTATGTGGGCACAAGACAGGAACTTCTTATAGAAAAGACATGAGCACTCAACGTACTCAGGTGCACCGCCCACCCGCCTCGTGGCATGCCAACGTGGTGCGCGCGGCGTACAGACCATTTCACAGCTTCCTGATAGAACTTGGCAGCGGTAGCCTTTTCTGCATCTGTTAAACACTCGGGCGATATGATGACAGGAGTTTTGACGTTGCTGGGGGCCTCCAACTCGTCAAGATCAGACAGTTCGGGGCGGTCTTCCAAATGACCACCGCAATGATATAGCACGCGAACAACCGACTTCTCGGTCGTAGCGTAAACGACGACTCGGTTGGTCGACACTAACGTTCGGGCCAGCTGCTTTGCAACTTGAGGCGGGGCGTTTGGTCCAGATGCCATGGGAGGTGGTACACACAGCGAATAATCTTCTGCAATCGTCAGTAGCTTCATCAACAAACGGCGCGTATCCGCTGCCTTGCGCTGCGTATAGCGCTTGATGCTGGCATTAAACACTTCACATGGGTTGTTGGTTGTAGCGTACCCCCCTGGAGAGTGATAAATCTGCCATCTCCAGAAGCGGCTATGAATCCATTGTGCCGCGAAATATGTCAAAAAGACGTGCAACCTTCTATCGCATTGCCACTCTTGAGATACACGCCCCCACACCTCCCAAAATTCGGTTTGGTTGAGTGTGTAGTGCATGTCAAGAATACCACGATACACCATAGCTCGCACCGAATCTGGTAAGTGTCGCACTCGCTTGCGTACATTGTACATCACGTGGAAGAAACACATCAGGTACGGACAGGTTGCACATTCTGCAACATCCCGCAGTCCGTTCAATTGGGCCTCTTCGGCGTCGCCCATTATCACGTCAACTCGAAGTGGTCTTTTCATGTGGGTCCTGAAAATTCGTGCGAAAGCTCCAATCGATTCGTAATATTCGCGTCGGGTCCTTTGGCTAACAATGAAAAGCGCGGCTAGGTGGTAGCTTCGGTGGCGATCGGTGAAACCGCACGTAACAACAGGGTAACCGATGTCGCTCAGCTTGAAAGTAGCGTCCAAGTGAAAAATGAGAAATGCTTCGCGATCCTGTAGCGAACTGATGTTTTGCATTAGCTTCAAGCTCGTGATTCCAAGTATCAACGGTTCATCATCTTCCCCGTTCCCAACAAAATGGATGCCGTGCTCATCTTCACGATTTCCAAACACAAACGCGGTGTCGGGATCCACTCCAGCAACGAAGGCCTTCGCCTTCACTAACTCCTTCGTCCTGACAATAGAGGTTTTAGACCCCTGCAGCCATCGATTGTACTTGACACTACGCAGAACTTGAGGGCACGTCGGAAACCCAAGCACTGGAGTCGGTATTTCAGGTGCACGAAGCATGTTGCTCCAGATTAAGCGTGGTGGTACCGCGTTTTCGTCCATTCGCTGGATGTAGTCGCGCATTTCACGTGTCACCTTGGCGCGAGGAGGTAACGAACACGCTATGTCTTCACGCGCGTGTGGCTGGCCATTTGTGTACGCAATCCACCGCTTCGAAGTCGGGCACCCATGCACTTTCCAGAGCGTTGCACATTTAACAGTTCCTTTGCAGTCTGGGCTCTGACAGCGAAGGCGCCGCTCAGCCATCGAGTGGTCCCCGGGGCAAATCATACACCAGCGCGTCCTCACCCAAAATATGGCAGAACAGCAAAATCGCTCCCAGCGAAACTTGACTAACGCATCTTCGCCTTGGAACTCGGCTAACTTCGTCCAGGTGTGGTTTGGAGACATCTGAGGTGGGGACAGCTGCAGCTAGGTTCTTCGCAAACTCTCGAAAGGTACTGGCTTGTTGTGTTGTGTGGGGAGCTGTTGGCCGACAGTAATCTCGTGTAGATTACACCAAGATTGTGAAATTTGAATATTTGAAAGTCTGAGCGTCAGATTAACTCGCGCGAGTTATTGTGAATCAAGAAATTCAGATTAACTCGCGCGAGTTATTGTGAATCAAGAAATTCAGATTAACTCGCGCGAGTTATTGTGAATCAAGAAATTCAGATTAACTCGCGCGAGTTATTGTGAATCAAGGGGTTTAAGCTGAGCCACCTACACGTTAGCGCTGGTCATCGCCGCGGTCAACGTTTTGTATGGTTGCCGTGCTTTGGAATACTGTAGAAATACCAGCCAGTTCAGCAACCAGCTTTGAAACCGTCATCTCATTGGTTAAAAATGGAGTACCAGGTAATGTGTAACTTTGCTGCAGCCCTTTGAGGTTGCTTTATGAGCAACGCGCTGTGAAATGAGCTGAATAACTCTTGTGCATGTAGTACTGACTGCGAGAACCTCTTTGTAAAACACTAGCGTCGCTCTCGTAGGTGCAGTACCGACCGCGAGAACTGGTCACGGCCTTGTACTCCTGGAACGCCTTAACTTTCTTCAACAGAGCGGCAACAGCTCACGCGTGCAGGCAGTACTGCTGCGGGGTCCTTCCATACCGATTTTATGAGTCTGTAGCCGCGGGACGGCTTCCATTTCACGCGGATTGCTACTGTGCGGTAGGTCTGGCGGGCTGGCTTTTATTTGTGTGAAGATGTCTGAAATGATGACACAGTTTACCTGCGTTCTCTCATCTCAGTGAGAACTGGATAGAGTGTGCCTCTGATCCTACCTAGTAGCCGTAGATGAGAAAGTGGTAGAGGTAGCCTGCATGAAATCGTACGGGTTGTGCAGCAGCACCAGGAGGGTACGGAGCTAGCTCTACCGGTAGCCCCGCCGCCATAACAGGCCTTCGGCTCCGACGTGACCTCCTACTACGTGCAGGTACGACAGTATGAGCTGGTTCGACCAGCCATGGAAAGCTCCAGGCCGCCGTTGGCGGTGCCACGGCTTGCCACGGTGATAAAAGCTTTGCAACCCTGCATAAACGAATTCACTTGTGTTTTGTATACTGTCTCCCATACGGCGTCGTTTTGCTACCGTGACTTGCAGTTTGTATAGGAGTTGAGTTGCAAAACAGACTAATACTTGCTACCGTGTGCGCAACCGAAGTTGCAAGCGATACCGTACCATTTGGCTACAGTACAAGCAACAATCCTGGTCGATACCATGCAGCTGGCCAATCAGAGGTGGCGATTTCTAGAAATACAACCTTGGTTGCAAATGGCCGGTAATGTACCGGTATTAACAGCTCTGGCAATGAGGCAGAGCAACAGATCAAGCTTGGGAACTGACAATCTGGCTACCGGTACCGGTACGATGCTTGAGAAAGTACAGTTAGAAAGTGCAGGTTGCTAGTGACCGGAAAAGTGGTTGTTGACGATCACTTTCCAGCTGTTGTGGTTGTTCTCGTCTTTTTTAGATTGCCATTGTCCCAAAGAAGGTTGTTTGTGGTCCAAAGTTGGTACACTGGCGACCCGGACTCATCACCCACGAGGAGGACAGGCACGTGTACACGTTTAATACATGTACAGGCGTCCCCGGGCTAGTCCCGGCTGTACAACTGCATATTTTAATGTACCTCGCACAGGAAGTACAACAAGCTCTCAAGATTTGTGCGCTACTTCTGCAAACGTATTGATTTTGAAGAGTGTACAGCGATACCTACTGCGACAAGTGGCCCGTTGCGGGAATACCTCCGCCGCAACTTCGTTCAAGCTGTGAGGCTTTGCCATATTTAGCGTCTAAAATGGTCGGCAAAATAACTGCAAAGCACAATACTGTATAAGTTATACACCAGTTATCTGTGCCTGAATTATCATCTGAGTTGCATCTACCAAAAAGGTGGCTCACTCATAATCCTGTACAGGGGGGCCCGCTGCTCAGCCGCGTAGCCACTTGTGGACGAATACGACTAGAAAGACGCTCTTGATTTCTGCCGTAGAAACACCCACAACAGAGACGCGCAGCACCCAAAACGTTCACTCAGCACTTACACATAAAAACAGGCCGCGACAAGACGTTCGTGTACACTCCCAGTTTGTAATCCCCCATTCTAGAACGTTCATCTGCCAGCACTCCAAGTATCCGAGCCCGACGCGCACGCCGGCCTGAGAGAAGGCTGCTGTGCTAACCGCCAGCATCGGCATCAGCCTCTGCGCGAGTGCCTTCGTAGCCTGCTTCTTCACCAGTGCTGCCCGCACAACAGGTACGACGTTGTGAATGCCTCCCGCACGGTGCAAATAATCACCGTGGGTGGGCTGGAGGCAAGCAACCGTCGCCGCTACTTACCTCACCTTTGTTGTGCGGTGCTGTTGTTTAGGAAGCCGCTAAGTGGCATGCTCCCGAGGTGATCGTGCCTCTCGGCAGCGTTGAATGCTGCGAAGGTGATGACAAGTAGCAGCACCGTGCTTGAGGCGGAGACCGTCATGAGCAGCAGTGCCCGACGCTGCTAGGGTATGCTGTACGTCATATTGCTGAGCGGATACGGCCATACTCCGCCTAAGACTACATGCTGCTGTGAGTGGGAAGTGCGCAGCGGCCCAAGCATGGATCTGCCGATGCAGTGAGTGTACTACTTGCAGTAATGTTGCATATGCAGTGAAGCAGCTCTAATATTGCCAGCACTATGAAGAGCTTTATGCACGGTAAGATGCTACGTTTTGCTTACGCTCTTCGGCGGCACTTATGATACTAACCTGAGCTATTCGATCTGCAGTGCTGGCGTGTTAGTGAACGGGCGCCCAGGAAGTCCGTGTCTATCCGCCGTTTGTCGCCTGTTGGGCCCGCGGTGTACGAGCCGTTCGCGATCTTCAATGCATGAACTCCACGCACGTGCTTTGCGAGCAGGGTATGGATACACGTTCCAAACTTCGCCCAGTAGTTGCAAGGACACGTCCACGCCTGGGTGTCAACAGCCCAGCCAAGCTCCGGCATCCCCTCAATCTCCGTTCGGGCGGTCTGCTCGCCCAGCTGTGATGTGACGGGCAATGCTTCGCGAGAGCGCTTGGTCTCGGGGTCGTAGACGCGGGCAACGCGCCGGGAGAGCACACGCACTACTTCAGGTCCGGTGGAGTCACCATTAGCAGTGACGTTAAGTAGAAATGCGATGCTGCTACGTTCACGAACCACCTCAAAGAGCATGCCTGCTCTTCTCATCTCCTTTGCGCGGCGGATGAGGGTCTTGCTTGGTATCGGCTCCACGGCGAACGGCTTCGGTGTCGTGCTTTCATGAGCACAACATGTCATCAGCTGGCATAGCAGAGCACCCATATTCATCCTCGCTCGGAGCCTGTAGTCTCTCTTCAGGATCGCGTTGAAGCTTTCGACAGGGTTGTTTGTTGCCGCAAAGGAGGGCGGCGTGTGGTTAATCTGCCACATCCAGCAGCGCTCCTTCCGCCATTGGCGGGTGAAGTACGTCGAGAACGCCGCCAGACCCGGCAGTTGCTACCAGTCTTTCAGCACGTGGGTTTGCGTTGCTAAAAACTCCGCCTCATCCGCAGCGAAGTGCATATCATGTACGCCTTTGGCGACGGCAGCATAGAGGGACGGATGGAGCTTGCTCGTCTTCTTGAATACCTTCGCCGCAACATGATAGAAGCACATGAGAATCTTGATGTCGTTGTCGACGCCGAAGACTTGTTGCACAGCATTGTGCTGGGCGTCGTCAGCGTCACCCATTGCGTACCGAACAGCCAGTTGCTTGCCAGTGACTTGCGTGTAAATTCTTCGAAGCGCCATCAGTGCCTCGGTGAAGTACGTCTCTTGGCGCTGCGGGGAAACGAAAATCACCAGCAAATGGAATGCTCCGCGGCGATCGGAAATCCCGACAACGAACACGGGGTAATCGACCTGAGCACCAAGGTCGGCTGGAACGACTACGTGGACGACGTGAGGCGCTTGGTTCGCGAGGCGGCGTTTACGGGGCACGAGCAAGAGTGCGACGCGTTCACGTTTACGTGGCGAACGGACATGGAGGGGAGGCCGTACGTCGGCAATGGCGCCGACGCCAACCCCTTCCTGGTGGGCATTACTTCAAAGGCGCTGCTGCGGCAGGCCGACCGGGACTCGTCCTCGTTTGTGCTGCACATCGACGCCACGTCTAAGCTCAACCATGTAGTTGTGCACAAACTTCTGCACAGTTCTGAGCGAGGGCAGCGCCTCAGTCCGCAACTCAAACTTGCGCATTATGCCCGTTCGAATTCGAGCAGGCTTAAGGCCCTGATCGGCCATTTCGCGGGCGAACTCCTTCATTGCACGCGTTAAGCGCGCTGGTGGTGGCGTGCGGCGGGCTGTCACGTGTGAGCCAACCTTGAACAGATCGACGAGGCCGTGACACTCGCACTTTAGCATTTTGCCCCTCGAGGGGCAGCGCGCGTACGGCTCTGCGGCTTTGCACCGGCGGCAAGCACAGCGAAGCTCCCGCTTACGCTTGTTATGGTAGCATATCGCTGCGATTCTAACCCCTGAAAAATACCTTAAAGTTTGTATGGTGCTTCCGGCCAATAGGAGTGTGTCATCTGCGATTCTTAGCATTTACAACCAATAGACACTACCGTTGCTTAAAATTTCGACGAATTAAATCGAGGGAATGACTGCCAACCGCTGATCTGAACATTCCAACAATATCGGGTTGGAAACGCGATTTGATATCGAGTATGCCATACAAATATCAAGTGAACTACAAATAGAATAAATATTCATATGTTTCCAACCCCTGCCAGCTCATCTTCGACTCCATTCTGCGTTCCGACGCACACAGGCATGTCGGTGGCATCGCTAGTTCCTGCGAACAGCCAGAGAAGCAGAGCGACGGCTGTGAAGTCTGTCGAAGACTTCCTTGCGAAGAAGGAGGTGACGCTCACAGAAGTGCATGATCGTATTTCTAAGGATAGCACAGGTAAGAGTTTGTTTGTCATTCTGGATAAGTATGGGTGGTTCTTAGTGAAAAAAATAGGAAGGCAAGGAGTAGCTCTGTCCAAGAACACTGTGCTATCTTATTTTGGCAATGTTAAGAACTGGCTGGCGGATCTGTACCCGCAACAGAGCCAATGTGTAGCTAAGAAGCTGCAAAAGATGCTATCAACTCTAGATCGGTACTGTGAAAAGAGGCCGGAGCAAGGTGTCACGAAACAAGCGCCACCATGTACTAAGAAAGATATAATGACTATCATCTCGGCTCTCTACATGCACGCTTCCGCCAACTCCGACTACCTGGATGTGGCGCTAGTGGCGTTGATGTGGTACCTCTACGGTCGTGATTCTGAGGCTGAGCAATTGGAGAAAGCCCAGCTGTGTGTATACCCCGGTACGAATCGTGCAGGATTTTGAATTTTGTATTGATTAACCCCACGAATTATGCTGACAATTCTGTGCGTATATGCTAGGCGGTATGATATTTCTCCGCTTTAAGCGTGTGAAGACTGCTTCGCAACAGGGAATCTCCCTGTTTAAGGACCCTAACGATCCCTTCACGTGCCCGTCACACGTGCTAGCTGTCGCTCTCGCCCTTCAACCCGCTCCAGGAACTCGCATCTTCCCGCAATTTGCTGCCGTACCTGCACTGTCCGCGTCCGACGACCAAGACGACGATGGCGAGCTGGGGCTGATTGCGCAGCTAGACCGCGAGCTTGCGGAAGCACCTACATGCAAGACTCCACAGCCACGTCGAGCCAACTTGGCCCCTGGTGCCCAAGCTTATATCAATAGACTATTAGGCACGGTTAGTGGACTGCCAGCAGCAAAGGAGAGTAGACTCACGAAGGGACTTACCTCGCACTCCTTCAGAAGAGGTGGGGCCATGCACGCCAACGCCGACAGTCGCATCAGCCCGAACTGGGTTGTTGAACGCGGGGGCTGGAATATGTCGCGCGTGAGCAAGGCGTTTTCCTACATGCTGAACACAACACACGAAGATCAACAAGTTGCGCGCCAATTGAGCGGGTGGAACCCGCAAGCGGGCGCCCGACTTCCAGACCTTACCGCTCTGGATAGAGTCGTCCGAGCGCGCGTGGAGAAGCTGCAGGATCTCCTCTTCGCTGCTGTCACTGGTTTCCCGACAGTGTCTTGGAACTTGGATCCTCAGGTGCTCGAAGTATTGATGGCGACCTTGATCCTTCACTTCCCCGAGATGGAACGCCATCGCTTGGATAGCCCGTACGTCCGTCGCATTCATGAAGCCCTTGGTGTCCTCAACATACAGGCCTCCGAGCTGTTGGCATGGTCGATCACCCTCCGAGCCGCATTCAATCCACCTGCAGAAGAGAAACAAGAAACAGCGGCCGAGTCCTCTCAAAACATGATCCGTGTTCTCGAAAAGCTGTCGCAGCAGCTCGACGAGCTATTGCTCCGCCAAACACGCGTAGAGGAAAGGCTGGCTGTATTTTTTTTGGGGAGGGGAACGCAGAATCTATTGACAAGAAAACAAACACTACCGAGCAGCAGCACGAAGCCGTTGAGCAGTCGCAGCCAAAGCGCGCGCACAAACGTGCCTCCAAAGCGCTATCGACAGTGTGGTTCGAGTGATTCACTGCTGTACCACGCATGTACGAATCAACAACAGCTAGCAAAGCCATCCTTCACGAGTCACGACACGCAGTTGCATTCATGATGCTCTGCTTACCTTCTGGGTTCAAGCTGGATCCGGCCTCGCCAGCGTACAAGGCGGAGGTCCACGCTGTTGGAGTCGAAGCCGAGACGAAGACGCTTGAATACTTGGCTGCACAAGGCTCACAGGCTGTAGCCGTTGGCTCGGTCATCAAAGCCATGTGTGCGCTTCACAAAGCAGGCCACCTTTCCGTCCTCCTTGATCAGTTTCGCGAGCGCTACTATGAAGGCGAAGTCGTCGACCCGACACCCAATTCTGCCCTTCCGCCATTCGTGCGCTTCACCTAAATGCACACGCAGCACACTAAATAGTCAATAAGATACACAATACGTACAACAGGAGTAGCACGCACTCTCTTAGCCGACCTGTCCAAAAAGAAAGCAAAAACACATAATACTTGATGCCCATGTCGGGGTTTGATCCTCCAGGCCCGAAGGCCTGGCGCTCAACCTCACGATCTCCATGGGCGCGGGTAAGTCGCATCCATCAACAGCACCATACTCGTCCAAACCCTCGGCCACTTGAGCCACACGCCACGAGAGCGCACAGGCGCAACCCAACACACGTCCCAGCAGCGCACATAGCCCAGCAGCACACACGGCCCAGCAGCACACACGGCCCAGCAGCACACATGGCTCAGCAGCACACACGGCCCAGCGGCCAGCAGCGCCTGTGTACACGCAGAGACAACAGCAGCACAGGTAGCGCAAGCAGCGTTGCACGACTCGCAGCACTAACCTGGAAGCTTCTGGACTGTTGGCCGAGAATCCAATCGGCGGTCGTGAGGTTAAATATCAGCTGAATAAAAAACCTAATACCGTTGCTAGACCGGTTTTGGTTGGAAGCAGTCCAACCCCGTTGGAATTTTGACGGTATGGGGGCCAGCCTCCGTGCACACATTGCACTGCACTTGGTCTCTCTTGGTGATCTTGAACACCTTGAACGATTCCAGGAGCAGATCCACTTCGTCCTCACTGAGGCCATCGGCGAGTTCAGTCCAGGGTAGAGCGGGCGGCATGATGGGTTGGTAGCGCGTGAAGCAAGCCGGGAACGAGTTGCCAGGTACAGGCGTCCCCGGGTTAGTCCCGGCTGTATATTTTAATGTACCTCGCACAGGAAGTACAAGCGGTTTTCAAGATTTGCGCGCTACTTCTGCAAACATATTGACTTAGATGCGTGTACAGCGAGACCTACTGCGACAAGTGGCACGTTGCAGGAATACCTCCTCCGTATTCTTGAGCTAAGCTTGTAGCAAGTACATACTCATCTATGTTCAGACCACGTGAATCTTGTTGATTCGCAAACATCATAAGTACCACTGTGGCGAATAGGCCGGGGACGCCTGTAGGTGGTATCTTTCCAAGTGGGGGACACTCGCAGTGTTGTTGCTTGCCCAGAGACTTCATGAGACCGTATGATTGGTTAAAATACGTCCTGTTCCGAGTACGTCATTGGTCGATGGAGGAGTGGGTATACGAGATTAGTTTTTGAGTGGTGTTGGGAGTAGCAGGTGTGCTGCACGACTTAGTCAAGTGCCATCAAATCATTTGAGATACAATGCGATACAACCTGGGTGCAAGAAGTATAGTCTGGGTGTTGTAGAGATGTTTAGAGTAGTTTGGGGAGGTTCCCTCCTTGGACATCCCCTTGAGCCGGTGTGCCTTGACACGGCGTGCGTCACGGCGACTTCAACGTGCGGATTGGGTGCGCGACTAGCTGGACCGTCCAAGCCTCCCGCTCGTCATCTTTGTTTCCCTTGCCGTCGCTTCATCGCCGCCAAAATCTTTCGCAAGGTGTTGACAACAGCGCTGTGGTCTTTTACCCACCGGGTACATGTAGTGCCCGATAGGGTTTGTACATGGGCTCATTACCAAGCCTCTTGAGGTTGCACTGGTTGAAGTTGATGGCAAAGCGTCGGAGCAACAAACAGATCTAGGATATCGATGCTGGTATCCTATCTACGATACGCTTGTGCTTCGTCAACTGTGTTCCTTCATAGTACTCAACCGGCCTCAAATCTCTCCAATAAATGGTCTTGGGCATGATTGACTTGGTGTGCTGGAAGAAATACATCTAGGTATGATACTGGTGGTACTACAGTAGTAAAACCGAGCTAGGATGTAACGGGGTTACACGAGTTACCCGAAGGGTTACGAAGTGGGTACACACGTCTAACCTAAATCAGTAGGAGAATCTGTACATGGCTTCAGAGTCACTGATTATGCATATGACTAGGGTTCACTATGCTAGATAGTGAACCGGATACATTTACACCGTAGGCGGCTTGGCCGCGCTAAAGAGAAATACATTCAGTTCGAGATTCACACACTTCAGAGTTAAGGGTTGACTCTTAAGTAAGGTGTACGGACTCGTACGTTCTGGTATTAGAACGGGCTACCTTAAGCTGAGACTCTGTGAGTCTGTTACGTCTTCCTCTGACACTAAAGCTGCGGCAGCCCCGCTGCACTTGGTAGCACTCGTAGTCAATCCGACACCTGAATCTGTATAGACTGACCCTCTGTGGAGAATGGAGCAGTTCGCTCACTTGCCCCAGAACCAGCAGGATGCGCTTAAAAAGGCTTATATCCTTGCTGGGCCCGGAGGGCGTGACGCAACTTGCGCAGCAAGGCCCCGACGCGGTGAACGCGCGTCTCGAGGCGTTTTCAAGCTACGAGAATGCTCTGCTAGAGCACCTCCAGCAGAGGATGGCAACGGCCGCGGCACCCCAAGCGCCCGCTTCGTCATCCGACGCGGGAACAAGACCCAAGCCGCTCATGTTGAGCGTGAAGACCTTCGAAGGCAAGGAGGGTGAAAGCTTGATGCTTTGGACCCGTGAGGTTGAGATGGCTATGAGCTGAGCTCTACTCCGGACGGAGTCGCAGCGCGTGGCACTAGCTATCTCGAAGCTCGGTGGGTGAGCGAGAGAGTGGGCACTAACGTCCGGGACGTCGGTCGAGGTGGCCTTCCCGACGTGGGACCAGCTGAACTAGCAATTGTCCCGAGTGTTTGCTCCGCCTAACGAGGCGTATCGCGTGCGCTCACGCTTTCTGGCTACTCGGCAGAGCAAGAAGGAGTTGGTGGACTACGTCCAAGAGCTGAGAACTCTCATTGCAGGGATGTCTGCCGACCCGTTGCCGGAGGCAGTCACCGTTACGGAGTTCATGGAGGGCCTTCGCACTGGCGTTGCCAGGACGGAGGTGTTCCGAACCCACCCAAGCTCTTTTGAAGAGGCTGTGAGCGTCGCATTGAATGCGGAACACAACTTTAAGTCGTCGAGACTTGGGTGGAATGCGTCTTACGCTAGCGCGTCGAGTGGTCCGGAACCCATGAACCTCAGCTATGCTGTAGACGAAGAAGCCAAGTTTCGTGCTGCTGAGCAGCGTCGCGGTATCCGCAGATGCTTCATCTGTGGTGACACCCGTCACCTTCGAGCTGGGTGTCCCAGGCTTCGTCAAGCCGCTCTTCGAGTTCGAGCCAGGGCTCTGGTTCGTCTCGGGGAAACGAGAAGTCCCAGTAGGCGCGGGGCGGCCTACTGGGGAAGAACTAAGTTCTATTGAGCCTCGGCGAGGTGGAGGTCAACAGGACTTAGCCCCGAAGAGAGCCGTACTCTCTAACACGGAACGTGTATGCAAGCCGGGCTTGCTAGTTGTCCAGGCTTGGGTGAAGGGCTTCGCGAAGCCATGGACATCGTCACTATTCGTCTCGCGATGGGCACTCGTGTCACGGTGCCTAACGTCCCTGTGGACCTGGGCGTAAAGTTTTTGGATTTCGATAGCGTGGAACGCTGTCAGGTCTTAGACCTCGATTCGAGATATGATATCATCCTTGGTATGGCGTGGCTGGAACGCCACGAGCCTTGGATCGATTGGAGGTCGAAGACCCTTGGTGCTACGCACTTCTCTCCTGGCGGAGCATTGGCGAGTCATGAACCCACTTCTGCTAGGAAGCAGAAGCGCTTCTGGCGCGAGCACTGGACCGAGTCGGTCAGTGTGCTGGACATCGGAGTTTCCGAGTTGGTGGACACTGAGTGTGTCGAGAACGAGCGTTCCGAGCGTGGCTCACGGACGGCAGGTGGAGCGGCACTAATTCCGCTGAGCGGGCGTGCGTCTGAGGGCGACGCTCTGCTGTGTTCCAGCGACGGCGCGGTTGCCACGATGCCGAAGAACAAGGGGCTTTGACCGGATGAAGATCGTGGAGTAGCACGTAATCCACTGAGTGGAGGCTGCGGATCGTGCAGCGCTTCGCTGAGTGTCGGTAAAGACACTGGAGCTCTCCAGGAGCTGAACGAGGTGGTGACACCTGGCGTCAAGACGCACGCGAAATCACGGAGCTCTTCAGGGCGGACGGTGTCCATGAAGAGGAGGCAGCGCCGCAAAGCGCTGGCTGCGAGACGCAAGGTGTCTGCGATCTCGCGAGTCGAGAAGGGCGTGTCGAGCGGTGAGGCTCCACGTGAGAGCGAGCAGCTCTATACACTCGTGAATGGAGTGACGGGCGACGTCGACGGAGGTATCAACCTCGACGACTTGCCCTCACTGGCTGCTCTCCTGGAGCTGGACGAGATGCCCTTGGCCGAGTTCGGCGAAGCCTTGAAGGCTGGAGACTTGGCTGAGGTAGTGGTCATACGACCCGAAGAAGAGTTGAACTCGCCCTCGCTTCTGGATGAAGCTGTCCTGGAAGCCACCAAGAAGGCGCTGAATGCGCGGAGCGGATCGGCGATCCTGAAGGACCCCGTCGTCGGATCCCTTGTATCAAGTGGTAAAAGATTACCAGGACGTGGTCTCGAAGGAGCCGCCTTCGGGGCTACCTTCGGATCGAGGTGTTCGACACGAAATCGATCTCGTTCCGGGAACGAAGTACTGTGTGACGAGGCAGTGGTCCTTGCCGAAGGAGCAGTGTGACGTCATTGACGCGTTCTTCCGTGCGAAGCACGAGGCGGGCATGGTGCGTGAGAGTAAGTCTCCACACTCTACGCCGACGTTCTGTGTCAGTAAGCCGAATGGCAAGTGACGTATCGTGCATGCTTTCAACAAGCTGAATGCCGCTACCATTCCGGCGCAGACGCCGATTCCTCGGAAGGATGTTCTTCAGAACAATATGGCAGGATGTACGATGTACAGTGCGCTCGACTTGGTCGATGGATATTACCAATTGCTCATGAGGACGAGCGACATTCCTCTCACTGCGGTGCGTACTCCGAGCGGCATGCTCTGGGAGTGGTTGGTGATGCCCCAAGGGCTTTTGAACGCGCCACCGACTTTTATCGTCTTGTGACGCAGCTCTTCAGGCCCCATCGGGCGTACGCGCAAACGTACTTCGATGACATCTTTGTCCACAGTCGTGCTGAGCACGGAAAGGCTGATATGGAGAACCATGTGGGGCACCTACGTGCTGTGCTCAAATGCATGCGTCAAAACAAGTTGTATGCCAACATTGACAAATGCATCTTCGGAGCGGAAGAGATCCCCTTCTTAGGGTGCTCCATTGGAAAGCGTTGCCTAGAGGGCCGACCCGGTCAAGGTCAAGGTCATTGTTGACTGGCCGGTTCCCAAGAACCAGAAGGATCTTCGCAAGTGGGTTGGCTTGGCCAATTACTTGCACAAGTACAGCGAGAACTACGCTGAGACGGCTCGGCCACTCTCCAATCTCCTGAAGAAGGAGGCGGAGTGGTGTTGGGAAATCGAACATCAAGATGCGTTCGCGGCCATTAAGGACAGTCTCCTTCATGCTCCTATTATGGCTTTGCCAGACCCCGCTCGTCCGTTTAGTGTCGTCTGTGACGCCTCGGACTTTGTCATCAGCTGTGCGCTGCGGCAAGCAGAAGCCGAGGGGCGCGAGCGCGTGGTGGCGTTCGAATCTCGCCAGCTGAAGGCTGCGGAGAAGAACTATCCTGTCCATGACAAAGAGCTACTTGCGATGAATTATGCGCTCGTCAAGTTCAGGGTACACCTGTTGAGCTCTCAGCCGTTCGTGATTTACACGGATCATGCGTCGTTCCGCACTGCGACTCAGTCG